CTCCTGACTCCCGCCTCCATCTCCTCTCTGCATTGATCCACTCCAACGCACATTTCTCTTACAGGCACAACTCCTCTCCACCACCCAGGCACCCAGATGGCCCTCAAGTTCCCAATTATAACCAGTCCCCTCCCATATCATTCTGTGCGCCTGTTGTCACATTGGTTTTCCAGAAGCATAACTTGGAATGATGCCTGTGCTCTCAACAGAACTTTTGAGGGATGGGGAAGGAAGTCCTTTATTGACTCAATTAGTCCTCAAGTTCCTTAGTGACTAGGCCTAAGGTTCTTTATTGACTTAACTAGTCCAAACTCTACCTTCTGCCTCCAAATACCTTTTCCCACAGCTCTCTGCCATCCAGCTCCCCTCCCCAGGCTGGCCAAACTACATTTCCCTGCTGTTGCTCAGGCTTTTTTCTTTTCTTTTAATCTAGGATCTCCTGCCTAGAAAACACTGTCGTACCCTGTGTGAAGTCTTTCTTGACCCGTCACCCTCCTGTCAGCGTGGTCTGGTTTCTCTTTCCTCTGCTGTAAATTCACAGCATTTATACCTCATTCATGTCTTTATACGGAACATGCTTGTGTCTGTGAAGAATGAAGAATGAATATTGGACTTGGAGTAAAAAACCTGGGTTCTTATCTTGCCACAACTGCCTGCTATTTTGTGACATTGGGCAAGTCCTCAAACTTCTCTATGCTCCAGTTTCCATCTCTGGGAAAAGGAGTAATAATTGCTCCCTGGGTGTAGTGAGTGTCAAATGACACAGTCCATGGAAATTTGTCAACAGAAACTCAATCATTATTTCTGTGCTGCTCATCGCCTTTTCTGTGGTCCCCAGGCTATGTGAGGCTGTGTCTTGCTCATCGTTCTAAACTGATAATACTATTAATAGATTATTATATATATTTCTAATAATAATAGTTAATGTTTGCAAAGCACATATAATTGTGCTGAGTACCCTTCCAAGTGCTTTACGTGGAGTAATTAGTTCTCCCAGTAGCCCCAAGAGTACGTACGTGCCATTACTGTCCCGCTCTAAGGATAGATTCCAGATCCTCCAATGCATGTGGGTGGATGAGAGGCGCAGTGAGACGAGAGCTGCCTTTGCAGTGCCTGCCAAACGATTACTTCTCTCCTTTTGGGTTCTGCCTCTACTTCCCTCTCTTTGCATCGCCTGAGGTAAATGCAGATGAGGAGAAAGTCTTGAGTGAACCGGGCCTCTGGAAGATGTGAGGTCTCCCTGGATCTCACGGAGATGCATTCTCATGAAGAGAGCTCCAGTGAGTTCCCAGGGGACAGACCGTGTTCGTCTTGTTCCCTGATATATTCATAGGGCCTACAACGATGTCTAGCGATCAATAAATGGCTATTGAATAAGTGAACCATGTAATCCCCCACCTGTGCATCTAAGGGAAATAGAATTAGATAAGGTAGGACCTCATTTCTCAAAACAGGGACTAGTATCAGGGGAAGCCATCATGTGCCAAGGGACATGCGAGACCATAATATAAATATGATTCACCTTCCTAGAGCATCATGTTTCTCATAGAAGGAATAATTTTAAGTTATAACAATTCAAAATTATGATCTTAAATACAGATTATAAAGTAGGAGTAGTGCACTTGGGTTTTACACTAAACAGGAAACTTCAAAAAAGTTCCTAACTGTAGCTAATACTGGGCTCCCAGATGTCTGGAGATTATAGAGTTCATTTGCCGCCTCTTTCAGAAATATCTCTGTCTACATTGAAGGTTACCCTTGACCAGTTTAGTAACTCCCTAAATATGTGGTTCCATGAGATTAAGGTGAACACTCATTTGAAACCACTATGGAAAATTAACCCCAAGTGATGTATCTGATAATGGGCTAATAGCCAAAATATTTAAAGAACTCTTTGCTTCAACACCAAAAGATAAATAAATAACCCAATTAAAAAACGGCAGAGGACCTGAATAGACTTTTTTCCAAGGAAGACATACAGATGGTCAACAGGCACATGAAAAGATGCTCCACATCGCTAATCATCAGGGAAATACAAACCAAAATTACAGTGAAGTATCACTTCACACCTGTCAGAATGGCTGTTATCCAAAAGACAAGAAATAACAAGTGCGGGCAAGGATGTGGAGAAAAGTACACTGTTGGTGGGAATGCAATATGGAGGTTCCTCAGAAAACTAAAAATGGAAATACTGTATGACCCAGTAACTCAGCTTATTTTTCCAAAGAAAACAAAATCACTGATTCAAAAGGATACGTGCCTATGTTTACTGCCACCTATTTTCAATAGCCAAGATATGGTAACAACCAAAGTGTCTATCTGACGATGAATGGATAATATGGTACATATGTACATTGGAAGATGATTCAGCCACAAAAAGGAGATCTTGCCATTTGCAACAACATGGATCGACCTAGAGGGTGTTATGCTAAGTGAAATAAACCAGGCAGAGAAAGACACCATACGATTTCACGTACATGGAATCTAACCGAAACAAACAAAACAGAAATAGACTCGTAGACACTGAGATGGGACTGGTGGTTACTATGGGGGAGGAGCTGAGGTGGGTGGGTGAAATCGGTGAAGGGAATAAAGAGGCAAGGCACAAAATCGCAATCATACATAAATTAGTCACGGGCATGAAAGTACAGCATAAAGTCAGTAGTTCTGTAACATCATTCCATGTTGACAGATAGTCACTACACTATTGGGGGAGCTTTTAATAAAGTAGATTAGTGTCACATCATTATGTTGTCTATTTGAAAGCAATATAATATTATATATCAACTCTACTTCAATAAAAAAAAAGAAAAAGAATTGGCCCCAGGAGGACCCTCTACACAAGGATGCCAAACGATTTGCTGCCAGGAGTCATTCATAAATTTGCCAATGGAAGATGAGCACTTTCCATTCCTGTCACTATTTAGGAAATATTCACAAAAGAGTATACAGAGTATTATTTCCCCTATTTTTTTTTAAAGTGTGTCAATTAGAAAAGGTTTAGCCCACCAGAAAAAGGAACTAGCCATGTAAAAAGACACCAACACTTTTACCACATATGTAGCGACAATTTATAAGATATTCTTGAAGTTATGAAGCTCCCTGAATATATTCATTACTTAGTTCTCCCATAGGATATTCTTTTTTTTCAACGTGTTGCTGTTGAAGAAACAAATCCAAGGGCCTGAATTCAGTAGTGCCAGGATTTCTGAGCAAGTGATCGTGATACACCTGCAAGGTCCCTTCACCCCTGGAGTTGCTTTGGGCCCCGCCACCGTGTTCTGTCCCCTGAGTGGTTGGCACAGCTACCTTTCCTGTCAGGAAGAGAGAAGCAAGGGACCTGTCTGTACCTGGGAGTGCTCCTCTGTCCTTGGCTACCTAGCAGTGATGGCATCGCTGGCTCAGAGCCTGTGCTGAACTTTGCCAACTGGGTGATTGATATTAGCCATGCAAGTCATAGCCTCAGAGCCCAATAGACACAGTATAATGTTAGTTTTAAGAAGGCAAGTGGCAGCTTTGTCCTCTCCTGACTCCCGCCTCCATCTCCTCTCTGCATTGATCCACTCCAACGCACATTTCTCTTACAGGCACAACTCCTCTCCACCACCCAGGCACCCAGATGGCCCTCAAGTTCCCAATTATAACCAGTCCCCTCCCATATCATTCTGTGCGCCTGTTGTCACATTGGTTTTCCAGAAGCATAACTTGGAATGATGCCTGTGCTCTCAACAGAACTTTTGAGGGATGGGGAAGGAAGTCCTTTATTGACTCAATTAGTCCTCAAGTTCCTTAGTGACTAGGCCTAAGGTTCTTTATTGACTTAACTAGTCCAAACTCTACCTTCTGCCTCCAAATACCTTTTCCCACAGCTCTCTGCCATCCAGCTCCCCTCCCCAGGCTGGCCAAACTACATTTCCCTGCTGTTGCTCAGGCTTTTTTCTTTTCTTTTAATCTAGGATCTCCTGCCTAGAAAACACTGTCGTACCCTGTGTGAAGTCTTTCTTGACCCGTCACCCTCCTGTCAGCGTGGTCTGGTTTCTCTTTCCTCTGCTGTAAATTCACAGCATTTATACCTCATTCATGTCTTTATACGGAACATGCTTGTGTCTGTGAAGAATGAAGAATGAATATTGGACTTGGAGTAAAAAACCTGGGTTCTTATCTTGCCACAACTGCCTGCTATTTTGTGACATTGGGCAAGTCCTCAAACTTCTCTATGCTCCAGTTTCCATCTCTGGGAAAAGGAGTAATAATTGCTCCCTGGGTGTAGTGAGTGTCAAATGACACAGTCCATGGAAATTTGTCAACAGAAACTCAATCATTATTTCTGTGCTGCTCATCGCCTTTTCTGTGGTCCCCAGGCTATGTGAGGCTGTGTCTTGCTCATCGTTCTAAACTGATAATACTATTAATAGATTATTATATATATTTCTAATAATAATAGTTAATGTTTGCAAAGCACATATAATTGTGCTGAGTACCCTTCCAAGTGCTTTACGTGGAGTAATTAGTTCTCCCAGTAGCCCCAAGAGTACGTACGTGCCATTACTGTCCCGCTCTAAGGATAGATTCCAGATCCTCCAATGCATGTGGGTGGATGAGAGGCGCAGTGAGACGAGAGCTGCCTTTGCAGTGCCTGCCAAACGATTACTTCTCTCCTTTTGGGTTCTGCCTCTACTTCCCTCTCTTTGCATCGCCTGAGGTAAATGCAGATGAGGAGAAAGTCTTGAGTGAACCGGGCCTCTGGAAGATGTGAGGTCTCCCTGGATCTCACGGAGATGCATTCTCATGAAGAGAGCTCCAGTGAGTTCCCAGGGGACAGACCGTGTTCGTCTTGTTCCCTGATATATTCATAGGGCCTACAACGATGTCTAGCGATCAATAAATGGCTATTGAATAAGTGAACCATGTAATTTGTAAATAGCATATTCATTACCACTCAAACCACATAAATTGCTGGCAGTGGAGATGGTGAGCAGTGTCCTATCTTGCTTTCGCAGGCAGTATTACGAGATGTTATACAACACGGCCGATGAGCTCCTGAACCTGGTGGTGGACCAGGGCGTGAAGTACACGGAGCTGGAGTACATTCACGCGCTGACCTTGCTGCACCGCAGTCAGACGGGGGTGGGAGACCAGACCACTCAGAACATGAGGCTGCAGAGGCTCAAGGAGATCATTTGCGAGCAGGCTGCCATCAAGCAAGCCACCAAGGATAAGAAAATAACTACGGTTTAACCCAGTGCACTGCTGGGGGAAGGGGCCGGGAGCGGGGCAGCTGGGGGAGTGGGCATTTTTCTTTCCTTAGTCATACTTCTTTCCTTGATTTGTTATTTGGTATGTTCTGAGCTGACTTCGTTTTCTCTGCACTGATGCTTTCATGGAGAAAAGGTGTAAGGATTTTTTTTGTCCCTTTAATTTTGGTTTTTCGTATAAATTCTAAATTGAATCTGCAGTACAGATGTTTTGATTAAATGTCCACTTTACTGCAGTCATTTCCAAAGGGGTTAGGGTGGGATGGGGAGGAACGTTGTGTCAAATTGGACTCTGAACAAATGAATGCATGAATTACTAATACCAGCGGTCTTTTGAAAATAGACGGCTACCTAAGTGTTAGTCCCTTCCTAAAACCAGTAGGTTTTTACTCTCTTGACCTTATCAGTTTACAGTTCCATGAAATAAGCGTATATGGATTGCTTTCTTCCTCTATTGCCAAGATCAAATCAATGGCTTCTCAGCTGGCTGTAGTTTTCAACAGCTTTCCCTAACAAAACAGGACCTCTTCAGGGTTAGGGGGAAAAGTCCTTCCATCCCAACCCCTGGGAAAATTTTATATGCAGTAGCTTGTACACAGATTATAGGTTGGTTTATTGCCTCTGTTTTTATTTCGTGGTATCAAAAATAAAGAGCCAGTAGCCAAAATGGAAGATTGAAAAGTGATCCAACCCTCTTCTTGATTTGTCCACTTCCCAGGACAAAATGATGGTTGGAAAACTTTTAATGTCAGTTGAAACTGGGTCTGGGTGTGAATGACTTTTAGATGCTTACTTACTCTCCTTATGAGCCCCTAGGTCTTTCTCACCTCTGGGAAGTAGCCCAGGTCCGCTCAGTGGAGGGCAAGGAAGATGGGACAGACGTGACGTATCTCCTCTTTGTGCCCACAAGCTGAGTGCATTTCTGAAATGCTCTCAGGTGATATGGGCACTCACCGCTCCTGGCACAGTGGACCTCCCCACTGTCCCCAGGTCTCCAAGTGCTCTTGCTACCCAGGGTTGACACGTCACCAAAGAAAGCAATGTACTGACTGGGACACACCTGGAAACATAAGGAAAGGAAGGCAGGAAGGACTTGACCACACAGACATGCCTCACACTAGGATGGTCCAAAATCTTACAACTGTTTGTACAATTTTGGTCTTGGTCAGAAAAACAGAAAATTAAAATATGTCTTGAGAAGCTTAAATATTGTGTATTGTTTTTCTTGTATTCTTTATTCAGCAAACATTCCCTGAGGTCCTGATATATGCCAGACGCTGCTAGGCATGAGGGCCGATACTCAACAATGCGGACACCCTTATTATGTACCTTTAAGTCAGAGTATGGAAACTAGACTCTAACCAAAATCCTAACATGAATACTCAGGGCTGTGTTAGAAATTAGGCCACACAGTGGGGCAGCTTTGAAGGGAATTCAGCAGACAGCTGGAAGATGGTCATCCCGGGGGTTCTGGGAGGAAGTTATACATTGGTGCAGCTTCAGAGAGGCCTGATTGGGAAGAAGTTGGTCTATGTCAGGGACAGCCTTGAAAAACAAGGTGCCCCTGAACAACATCCTATAAAGTAGTATATTTAAGAAGTAGGCATGGGAGAAAGGGGTGAGGGGAGTCTAGGGCTGGCCCTCCGGTCTGGAAGCCTCCTCTCAGCCACCTGCCAGGGTTGGCCTCCCAGCGTTACTATGTACCTTTTCTTCCTGTCGGCTCCAGGCAAATAACCCCAGAGGGGTGAAAGCAATGCTGTAGGAGCTCAGGGTGGGTGGGGGGCTGCTTAGGGCAGTGTTACTGGCTGCAGAAAGGGGCATGGGTTTGGACTGAGTAAAATGCCAACAACACTGAGAACTGGCAGAGATGAGCTGCTTCAGGGGGGCATTTAGTAGAATCCCTGCTTTGCTTACAATAACAATATAATTGAAAAATGTCACTTCCCACAGAAAAAGGCATCTAAGCATCTGTCCAGGACATTCAAGGACCAAATTTCTTCATCGGATGGTACACGTCTTTATGCTTCAACAGGTCAAGAACAGCTAATGGCACATTCAACAGAGGGTCAAATGGATGTGGATAGTGTAACTTCATTCACAAAAGCCCCAGCCCCTGTCCAGGACCACCTTCTTGCCTAAATGATGTCTCAGCCTGAGAGTCATTAATTTATGTTTCCTAGCTTGGGAGGAAAAACTCAAGTACATGAAGTTGAATTGGCAACCAAACCCTGATTTTTTTTTTTTTTATAGACCTTTCCAGGCAGCTTGGCAGAGCAAAGGTGCCTGGCAATGACAGACTGTGGTAGTTTGATTTATTTATTTATTTATTTATTTTAATTTTTTATTAAGGTGTGATTGATACACACTCTTATGAAGGTTTCACAAGAAAAAAGAATATGGTTACTACATTTACCCATATTATCAAATCCCCACCCATACCCCAATGCAGTCACTGTCCATCACTGCAGCAAGATGCCACAGATTCACTATGTGCCTTCTCTGTGCTGCACTGTTCTCCCCGTGATTCCCCACACCATGCATACTGAACATAATACCCCTCAATCCCCTCTCCCTCCCTTCCCACCCACCCCCCGACACCCCTCCCCTTTGGTAACCACTAGTCCCTTCTTGGAGTCTGTGAGTCTGCTGCTGTTTTGTTCCTTCAGTTTTGCTTCATTGTTATACTCCACAAATGAGGGAAATCATTTGGCATTTGTC